TCCGACTTATTGCGTTTTGCTGATGATATGAAACTTTGGAGGGAGACACGCAACCAAGAGGATATATTGGCATTTCAAGGGGACCTGACTCGACTTCAAAGTTGGGCAGATGACAACAGACTTACTTTTAACATCTTGAAGTGCAAAGTAGTCCGTTTGAGACATGTTGCAGACTGCAGTTATAACTTAAGAAACTCCTCTGTAGAAGTATCCCAAGTTGAAAAAGATTTAGGAGTCCTGGTACCCTACGATTTGAATTCTTACGCTATCTGTGACAAAAATGCCTTTTGAGCAAACCTTGAACTGGTAATGTTGAAGGGCATTTTTGGCCAGTTTGACGGAAGAACTTTCCACCTAATCTTCAACAGTTTTATTCGTCCTCATTTAGTGTACGGAAACATAGTATTTCCTCCCTCACTCCAAAATTATAAGGACACTCTGGAGTGTATCCAACGACGAGCCACGAAATCAGTTGGGGGACTCAAATTCAAGCCTTATGAAGAAAGCTTCTAATCACCAAACCTATACCCATTAGAGTACATGGGTCCTAGATTTGACCTTCTAATGGCTTACAGCATCCTAAATACATCTGGACTTCCCCTTAAACACCTACTTCAGCTTAGTTTCAACACAAACCTAAGGGATAACACCCAGAAATTGTAGATACAACATAGCAGAACGAACTGTAGACACAACGTTTACTCCTTAAGTGCAGTCAAATGCTGGCTGAGCTAGTCCAAGCGACTTCCCAGGAGTCCTTTACGAGGAAACATGACATATTCTTAAGGATTAAGGCTAATATCTTAGTGTTCAGTTTCATTTCGGGAAGGACAAGAGGCTTGATGGCCTGTGTTAGTCCTGGCAATGGTGGTCTCTCAGTTGATCCAACTTTCTTTTGAAAGAGTCGACGGATGGAGCCTCAAACACGTGCTGAGGTAATGAATTCCACCCGTTGATGATTCGATGGGAAAGCCGATAGTCAGCTGACAAGTAATTTGTTCTGGGCTTGTGAACGTTTTTGGAGTGTCCTAGTAAATTCTCTGTTTTGGAAGACAAGAAAGGTAGGGGCTAGCCTCTTGTGTGCACTACTCAAGTTTAGGACGTACAAACACTGCATACAAAGTCAAAAACTTTTTTGCGTCGACATGACTAAAAGCCCTACGTATTGACCATAAAGTTCTCATGTCCTTGGCAAATATTGTACGGCAGTGTGTATTAGTCTTTAATTTTTGGCTAACAGGGACTCCTAAGTCATGTGTCTGGACAACAGGTAGCTCAGTGTTATTCATCGTGTATGTATCTGTGCCTTGATGACCGATATGCATCACAACACACTTGGAAGTATTTATCGGCAACTGCCATGTTTGAGACCATTCAGATAACTTCTTCAAGTCATTTTGAAGTTCTAAGCTATCACTCTTACATCGTATCGTTCTCCATATCTTGACATCGTCAGCATATAGCAAGACCGATGATGATAGGAGACAAGGAAGGTCATTTACATACAAGAGGAATAGCACTGGCCCCAAAACTGTACCCTGGGGCACTCCACTAAGCACAGTTTCCCAGCTAGATAACTTTGAGTTCACCCTTACTCTTTGTTGACGCCCAACTAAGAAGTCTTTTATCCACATCAATAAATTACCTCCAATCCCGACATGTCTTAACTTATATAACAGCCGGTTGTGCGGAACTTTATCAAAAGGTTTACTGAAATCAATGAAGGCGACGTCTACAGGTAGCTTTTGGTCCTTAAGAGCGCACCAGCTTTCACGAGCCACTAATAAGTTAGTGAGACAAGAATAACCTATTCTGAAACCGTGCTGCTTCTCCGAAAGGATCCGGTTTTCATCGAGGTACTTAAACAGCTCCTTCCGAATAATCTTTTCTAAGATTTTAACAACCACACTAGTTAGGCTAACGGGGCGGTAATTCTCAGGTTGTGTTTCGTACTTGTTTTGAAGACAGGACTTACTATGGCGTTTTTCCGGTCTTTGGGTAAACGACATTGCGTTACGGATAGGTTAAAGCATATAATTAAAGAGTTCGCAACGAAGTTAGATAATTCCTTCAGTAGGCTAGGATGTAATTCATCGGGCCTCGTGGATTTACCTATGTCAAGCTTATTTAGTAGACCAAAGACATCGAGTTCTTTAATGGTCACGCTATCCAGTGTATGTGTGGGGGGATTTGTATGCGCTGACGGGAGAGGTGTTTCTATGGTATATACACTGCTAAAGTAGTTTGACAATACTTGAGCCTTACCAAAGTCGTCCTCCGCTAGTGATGTGCAGCACTGTCTCCCCATAGTGCAGGGATATTCCCTTCTTCTTTTTGTCCTTTGGTTTATATAGGAATACAAGCGTTTTGGACATTCTATAAATTTATTAACAATTTTCTCTTTGTACAACTTTCTAGACTGACAGAGGGTCGAGGCACAGTTATTCCGAGCTTTTCGACACTGAGATTTTGTCTCATCAGTCCCCAGTAACTTAAATCTACCCTACATCTTTCTTCTCTTACAGAGGAGGATGCGAACCTCCCTACTGAACCATGATGGAGAGCTTCTCGGCCCCTTTGGTGTAATCCAAGGGATGTGGGGTGCGGTTACTTTTAAGTATACATTTCAAAATGCGTCCCAAGCCGTTTCAATTAAGGACTCTTTGTCTATTATCCAATCTACTGACGATGCTGAGTGCATGATATCTCATATGTTTGCTTTCCAGATGTTAGGTCTGGATTGAGCTGACTCGTGCTCGTGACTGACAGTTATATGGAAGTCGAAAATTAAAACTGCGTGATCGCTTTTACCTAGGGGTGGCATGTAACGGAGGTTCGCAGCGCCATCCTCATAGTGAGTCAGTATAAGATCTTGTCCGGGTCGTACCTAGTCGCTTCCTTCACATGTTGCACTAGGACACATATGATAAACGCATCAATTAGTTCCTGCCCGAAGGAATCATCTGACAATTCAGTTCGCCGATTATCCCAGTCTACCATCGGCGCATTAAAGTCCCCTGGGATTAGACATCGACCACTTTGTGACCAAGTATTGAGACTGCTTAACAGGACCTCATGTGCCTCATAGCTTGGACTACGATAGACCAAACCAGTCAGCAGCTCTTGTCCCTTGCACTTCAAGCGGCAACTAACTAATTCACGCGTCCCACTCTCATGGGATACACTGTCTATAATGTCAAGTGGGATAGCATTCCTAATGAATAGAGCTACTCCCCCTCTTTTACGCTTTTGTATTCTGTCGGCCCTTACTGACTTAAAACCCTCGAAATCAAGTTCCATACTATCTATAGGTTGCGTCAGCCAAGTTTCTGTTACTATGATTATGTCTGGCTTTGTAGAGTCAATCTGTACATTTAGTTCCGATCGTTTATTGAGCAAGCTTCCGGCATTAGTGTAACAGACCCGGAGCCTTTGTTTCTCAATTTCTTTTTTTCCTCTATTATCGTTAATATACCTAGGTTCCTACCTGGAGGTATAGATGATCTACTGCAACTAGACACGAAAGCACGCTAAGCGAAAGCTTCTTTTATTCCGTCCATAAGCAATCAATTCGGAGGCTCATGTTAGTGGTACTTGTGAGGTAGCATGTTGTAAACTCATGGAGTCCCTGATATGCGACGGTTTAAATGACTATCTACTGTCCTTAAATTTCTTCTCACCCCAACAGCATGGTTTCAGGAAGGGTTACTCTTGTATAACCAACCTGCTGACTGCGGTGGACAGATGGACAAGCATCCTCGATTGCAAGGGAAAGGTTGATGTCATTTACCTTGATTTCTCAAAAGCTTTTGATAAGGTTAACCACTTGTGTCTTATCAACAAGCTCAAACGACTAGGTATCAAACCACCTCTAATCGATTGGGTTACTTCATACTTAAAAAATCGACACTTTAAGGTTAGGGTTAATTTCATTTTATCTCAGGCTATGGAATGTCCTAGTGGGGTCCCCCAGGGCTCAGTACTAGGGCCTCTTCTCTTCTTGATCTACATAAATGATCTTCCTCAACAGGTAACGTCAGACTTATTACTTTTTGCCGACGACGTGAAACTTTGGAGAGAGATACGCAACCAAGACGATACACAGGCACTTCAGGAGGATCTGACGCGATTTCAAAGTTGGGCAGACGATAACGGACTTACCTTTAACACTTCAAAGTGTAAAGTAGTCCATCTGCGACATGTCGCAAACTACAGTTACAACTTAGGAAACTCCTCTCTAGTAGTATCCCAAGTCGAAAAAGATTTAGGAGTCCTGGTGCCCCATGACTTAAAGTCTTACGCTAACTGTGACAAAAATGCCTTCCGAGCAAACCTTGCACTGGTAACGTTGAAGCGCATTTTTGGCCAGTTTGACGAACGAACTTTCCATACAATCTTCAATAGTTTCATCCGTCCCCATTTAGAGTACGGAAACATAGTACTCCCCCCTCACTCCAAAAGGACAAGGTCACTTTGGAGCGTATCCAACGGCGAGCCACGAAATCAGTTCGAGGACTGAAATCTTAACCTTACGAAGAACGCCTCCGTTCACTAGACCTTTACCCACTAGAGTATAGGCGTCTTAGAGGTGATTTATTAATGGCTTATAGAATTCTTAACACTTCTGGACATCCTCTTAAACCCCTACTTAAGCTTAGTTTGAATAATAACCTAAGGAGTAACACCCAGAAACTGGAAACACAACATAGCAAGACGGAATGTAGACACAACTTCTACTCCTTAAAAGTTGTCAGAAGCTGGAATTCGCTGCCGGCCGAGCTAGTCCAAGCGACTTCTCAGGAGTCCTTCAGGAGGCAACTTGACCTATTCTTAAGGACCAAGGACAGCATCACACTATGATTTACCAATTTCTTTTCCGTTTTTATTGTTAATATACCTAGGTTCCTGCCTGGAGGATTTGGTGATCCCCTACTACTAGACACGGAAGCCTGTTAGGCGAAAGCTTCTTCTATTCCATCAACATTCATTTGAACCATTTTGTTACTGAAGACTGAACCCGCGTTAATGGACTACAAGGTCAATTTCGCGATAAAACATGCGTCTAAATGTTGTTGTTGCTGTTTCTGAAAACTGGGGTATCGGGAAGGGTGGAGGTTTGCCTTGGAAAATAAAGTAAGGTCCAGCTTCGATAACATACTGAGTCGTTTAATATTCTGAAGTAAACATTTATAATTCGTAGAATTATTAAAATTTTTCGATTGAATAGTTTGCAGAGTTTTAAAAGGTAATGAAAACCTCAGACATTTCAAGTAGATTATGTCTTCCTTAACAGCTTGCTTTTAAAGGTTGGTTAAATAGCCATTCAATTCTGGATAAAATTCTACCTAAAATTTTATCACATATCTGATAGTCAAATATTTGACTACCACCTCCCTACAGATATCTACTTTTAGAAGACTGATAAAGACAGATCTTTTAGTGATTCCTAAATCAGCAATGGTTACCTTAAGGTAACATGAAACATGAAATTTCATGTTTTTCTGGACTTGCTAATGGTTTGGGTTGTATATGTTTAGGTTCAGCGGATATACGCTGAACCTAAACATAATCTAAACATATATTATAAACAAATATTTTTCAATCAACATGTATGTTGATCACATATATGTAATATTTGCGCCTCAATTATTAAAGCTGAAGACTCAAATTTTAGAACTCTTTATTAGTGTTGGTTTTTTGTGTGAAAAACATGCAATTAGGTGCAATTTGGGAGCCACGTATTTTAGGACCCGATTCATAATTCTGTTGTAAAAGATAAGAGTATTGTTCAAACTGACTTGACTATAGTGTCCCAATGTTTAGAAGTTAGGTACTGAGACCGTCAACCTTACGCGACAAGCAAGTCTTTTTATGAATACTTTTGTTGAAAATTTTGCTATTGATGTTTCAGCGGTTGAGTATTTTTATAAAAAAATTTCATTATGAATGTGAGCTCTGGCAGTGAGCAGTAGACTGCATCTCGCCTCACCAATACACTGCCAAGGAAAGTAAAGTTGTAGTAAATAGTTGGAATAGGAGAAATGTCTAATCATCAAATAAAGTGGACAAGCAGTATTATTATGTATTGAACTGTATAACTTAAATGAGAAAACAACCAAGAAAAATTTTCACGGATCAGGAAAAACACCTTTTACTCTAAGCTATGTTTGACAGCCCGAAACCATAGAGTTTCTGGATGTTTGGCACATCAGCGGATTTTTAACAAGTCGAGTTGTTGATTTAACCGATACATACTTCGTCCCACGCGACTGTAATAAAGTAGTCTTAGTGGTTTTATATACTTAGCCCTAGTATCTGAACAATATGCAATATAGGGGATTGTTGGGACGATATGTGTAGGCTAATCAAGACATCGAATTCAGTATTTGAATACAATAATACTCATAAGACGACCATTCTGCCTTACTGTAAAACATGTTCTCAAGTCCTACGACTACTTACTAAGAGTTTCCACCAAGTCTTAGCAGTCATTTGAAGGCAATAATAACCAAAACTAGGACTTCTGAAATAACCGATGGAAATTTGATCGCTTTTTTCAGCATAAAACAATTTTACCGTCATATTATACACTTATCCTCTTACAACCAGACTAACGACGTGATAAAGCGAACCTGGTGCATATTAGGAGCTTTGGCGAGACTATAATTTGGTGGCGAACCAATCAGGTCTAAGATAAAGAGTCTCGGATTTTGGCGCGAAATTCACCCATCTACTTGGCTAAATAGAGTTTTAGCATTATAGCTGGTGTCAGTTCGTGATTAAAACCCTAAACGTAATTCCTAACTTTAACCATCAACTGTAAATCATAATTCTAATTCCTCACACTGGTTTATAACCCTCATTTGGTCCTGGTTATTAGATGAAGACTCTCATGGTCAGTTTGGCGTCATTCAAAGGTCGTCCATAAATTATAGTCTCAGCACTTCTCATTTATTCTCAAAGCTTCATACGGGGCGGTTGTAAACAGACTGTCAACGTTATACGAATACTTCAGTGATTATGGTTAACGTAAAGTAGGTTTTTTCCAACAAAGTAACTAAATCAAGTGTTTTTGAGATGATTATTCTTCAAACCTAGTTCTCCAACGATTAGTGGCTTTATCAAGTAGTGGTTTTTCGGCTTTTTAAAGGGTATGTCTTAGGTTCGAACCATGCATCATCTACTTAATTTTTAGCTCCAGAATAATATCAATAACCCTCGTGTAAGAGGTATGACTAAAAGTAAATCACACGAACCTGTTTATGATAAATAAGTTGCATTTTTATTATATCTTGTTCAAGAGCAAGCTGGAAGAGTGACAGGGGCGGCCAAACCAAAACATAATATCAGTCTATAAAGTCACTGATAATTGAAATTAGCCATGTTAATAGGTACATATTACTTTTTTGCGTTCGCGTGATTATCATAACCAATGGTTAGAAACTTCGAATAACATCGCTCAAAATCGTTTTCAATTGCGCAGGTGCATCTATTCTATCTTCATCCAAATCCTGATATTCTAATGTCCCTACGACTTTTTTTGCTTTTATTTCGCTACTTTATATTTTCTTTTCGAGTCATTTCTTCGATGCTTCATATTTCCTATCACCACTGATACTTTTACTACCTGTGCTATTCTGGGAATTAGCCTGACAACTTCATTTCTCTGTGCTAATGGGGTATGGAAACTTGAGCCGATGTACATACGTACAGGTTCTACATCGTTTGTGACTGGCTAATTATCCCTTCAATGTGGTTCATATATTATTCTGATCAATGAAATTAACGTCAGAATTTCCTAAAACTGTAATGTAAACAAGCAATCGATCGAAAAGATTAACCAATTTATCGCTTAGTCGCTTTAATTCGTTTGCTTTCAGTGAGCTATTGTAGCCGTTATATAATCCAAATTTTAGACCAAAGTACTAAGCTTGTTACTTGCTTTCAGGAAAGACATGGAAGTTTTCAAATCAATAACAACTAAAGCTCATCCAGGTAAAGTGTTTAACCTAAAAATAAATCCAGGTCTCAAAAATGCGGTTGTTATGGGGAGATTTACATGGGAATCTATACCAGAGAGCTTCAAACCACTAAAGGATAGGATTAACATAGTGGTATCAAGCACGCTATCACAGTAATTCCTATTTATAACTTACCAAGCCTTTCAAGCGCACCACCACGTGTTCAAATTGTTCCCAATCTTAATGCGGCCATTGACTTGTTATATAATGAAGAATTCAGCTCCATAGTAGATGAGGTTTTTATCATTGGTGGGCATCGTCTTTACGAAGTGAGTTAAATTTTGTCCTATTTTGTATCTCTGGAGGCTTCTGCACAATTATTCTAGACTAATTAACCATAGAACGTATGGACCTATTAAGTGTTTTCGTATTGTTTCTTAAGATTTATTAACGTTTTCCCTTTTATTAGTTAGAAAAATGGTCAAATAATTGGAAAAACCAACTGCATTATTAACGATACATCAGTTTCCTATATCCCCCATTTATTAAATTCATCATTCCATATATATATATATATATATCTTTTCAGTGACTTTATTATCATTATTTGTTTATTTTCCCAACCGTTGTTGCTACCTTGACGTGGTGGTCGGGCTTGCCTATCGTGATGAAGCAACCGAACTATACTGGCTGGAACAACCGTTCCTCAATGTCCTACCATACCAAGAAGGTCGGTTGAAGAACGATAAGACTAAAAGCAACAAACCCAAGGTCCGAAGGCGAAGTCATGTTGCTGACTGTAAAAAGGTGTGACAGTAGTAAGGTGTTTCCTTCAGACAGCCAGCATGACAGCGATGCTGCCTTCCCACAAGGAGGGGTGGGGTTAGAAAAGGTCGACCCTAAAAAATCCACACCTCACCCTATCCTACGGATATCCGTCTCCGGTGGTAAGGTCTCAACAAGTACGGAGCTAACACAAAAATTACCCACAAAAAGGTCGTGTGTGACCGACCTCCAGCAGTCGTCCGTTGGGCGCTGCGGTCACGCTCTCAGGTCACTAAGACCACCTCTAATCCAATTTCCTTTCAGGCACCTCCAGAAGAACCCTTCCACGGTGTAAGAAACCGGGAAGTGATAAACACCCTTATACCTCTAACAGTAATCAAGACCACTGTATTCATAATCAATATCCCTTTTCAATTCCTATTATTCCTCCTACATCGACTTTTACCTCTAAACTTACTCTTTCAACTTCTCCCTCAAGTGTCACCATAGCCAACGATTTTAGTGCGCAAAACACTGTCCCAGGTCTACTGAAACATCGCTCCAAACTACACATTGGAGCCATCAACGTAAACACCCTATGTCAAATCGGTCAACAGGCTTCCTTGGCTAGAACCCTAGAATCTCGTACCCTTGATGTATGCTGTGTCTCTGAAACACGCATACAGGATCCCAGTGTGGTCATTCACTTGACCTCACCTCGGCAAAACGGCGAGCCAACGAGATACACCCTCCGTGTATCTGGTGACCCGACGGCCAGCTCTCGTGAACTGGCAGGAGTACGGATAGCACTAAGCATGAGGGCGGAACAAGCACTGTTAGAGGATAGGGACACATGTCGTTGCCTTTTTGTCGTTTCTGCCTACGCTCCCACCGACTGCAGCTCGGATAATGTGAAAGATGAATTTTACAGAAAGCTATCTGAACTTCTTCAGAAAGCTAAACGTTCAGACATATTACTCGTAGCAGGCGACTTTAATGCCCAGATAGATAGTTTAAACCAGACAGAAAGGCATTTAGGTGGGTGTTTTAGTATTCCGGCACAACGGACAGATAATGGTGATCGTCTGCTGCAACTGTGCTCAGACAGTCGTTTATTTTTAGTAAACACAAATTTTAAGCATAAGGAGAGACATCGCCTAACATGGCGACCCCCTACACCAAACCAACGATGGACTCAAATAGACCATATTGCCATCAGTCATCGTTGGAGAGGGTCGGTACAAGATTGTCGCTCATTCTGGAGTACCTGCTTGGACTCCGACCACGCCCTAATACGGGCACACTTCTGCTTGCGCCTCACTGAACGCAGGAAAGTCACAGTAAAAAGACCCATTATAACTGAATTGAGTAGCGAAAAAACCAAAAGTAGGTTCCAGAAACAGCTGAGGTCACACTTAGGTAGTTGTGAAAACGAGGCTGATCCAGATGTTGCTTGGAAAGCTATACAAACAGCTGTGGAAACAGCAGTGACATCTATCAGTGATTTAAACCACAGGGTTACAAAGAACCAATGGATTTCCTCTAGGTCTATTGCACTGATGGATTCTCGTAAACTCATCCCATCAGGCTCTGAACACGATGAAGAGCGAATACAAATCAGATCTATGTGGTGGGCAACGAAAGCAAAAGAGATGGAAAAGGCGGCGACTATAGGGAACACAAGACAGCTCTACAGACTAATTAAATAAAGTGGAATTAATGAGTCAAGTGTAAGTCGGACTATTTCGGAAAAAGACGACACTTTGATCTGCTCCCAGTCCAGACGTTTAGAACGATGGGCGGAACACTCCAGAGAACAGTTCAGCTGGCCTTCAGCTACTCTACAACTACCCTCCATTCCCAGACAGTGTGAATGGAACATTGAAGTAGGTCCCCCAACTCTAGTAGAAGTTCAAAAGGCTATAGTTAATCTGAAACGAGGAAGGGCAGCTGGTCCAGATGGATTGGCTCCAGAGGTCTTTAAGGATGGTGGTTCAATTTTAGCGATTGGGTTGACTAATATTTTAGCTAAGATCTGGAAGTTAGACGTTATTCCATCTAACTGGTCACAATCACTTATCGTCCCAATATATAAGAGAGGGTTAAAATCATCCTGTGGCAACCATAGAGGGATTAGTTTAACTAATATAGTATCTAAAATACTGGCCTCGATAATTATCGGACGCCTAACTAAGACTCGTGAACTGCAAACACGAGAGAACCAAGCTGGCTTTAGACCTGGTCGTGGCTGCGTCGACCACATATTCACCATTCGTCAGGTTCTAGAACATAGGCATACTTATCGGCGTCCGACAGTGGTGGTCTTTCTTGACTTAAAAGCAGCATTTGACTCGGTAGACCGCGAGATTCTGTGGCAGTGTCTGTCATTGAAAGGCGTACCTCAGAAGTACATAAACCTTGTGGAGGCTCTTTACTCGAACACTACCAGTCGAGTCAGAGCTTATGGCGAACTGTCATCTGTTTTTGCAACCTCAAGTGGTGTCCGTCAAGTCTGTCCACTTTCCCCATTTTTGTTTAACTTCATCACAGACCTACTAATGTAAATAACATTTTCGTCTACTGAGTTCTCGGGTATTGATCTCCTTCCAGGAGGTCCACTTATCGACTTAGAATACGCAGATGACATAGTCCTGTTTGGTGAAGACGCTGATAAAATGCAGAGTCTTCTGGTAGCACTGGGCAACAATGCGAGAATGTTTGGAATGCGCTTCTCTCCCTCTAAATGCAAGTTGTTGCTTCAGGATTGGTCTGCGTCAACACATAAACTAAGGATAGGGAGTGAAGTAGTCGAACGCGTTGACAACTTCACTTATCTTGGAAGTCTGATCAGCCCTAATGGGTTGGTATCGGACGAAATCTCAGCACTGATTCGAAAAGCTCGTTTGGCTTTTGCGAACTTGCGTCACCTATGGCGAAGGCGAGATATCTATCTATCAATAAAATACGAGTATACTGCGCGGCAGTTCGTTCTGTTCTACTTTACGGCTGCGAAACATGGCCACTAAGAGTAGAAGACACTCGTAAGCTACTAGCATTTGACCACAGGTGCCTTAGAAATATTGCTGGCGTCTGTTGGGATCACCGGGTAAGTAATAGTGAGGTTAGACGCAGGGTATTAGGGAATGGTGGTAAATCAGTTGATGAGGTTGTGAATCTTCATCGACTGAGATGGTTGGGCCACCTGTTACGTATGCCTGAACACCGATTACCGCGACGTGCAATGCTAACCGGTGTCGGGGATGGTCGGAAGAAAGTAAGGGGCGGCCAAAGCAAAACGTGGCATCAGTGCCTGAAGTCACTAACTTGTAGTCTGAGCCATGTTGGTAGATGCAGACTACTTGGTTGGGGTCCGCGTGACTTTCGTAACCAATGGTTGGAGACTCTTGGTGACATGGCTCAGAATCGATCACAATGGCGTCGGTGTATACACTCTCTGTCTTCCCTTAAACTAAGAGGTTAAAATCGCTTCATATCTTCCATTCTACGACCTAATTCTTTCTTCGTGTACTATATCCTTATTGCAATCTTTCTTTTATATATTACCGTCACTGAATGAACTACTTTTATGAATCCGGTGTCCATCTTGTTGTGTTAATGAGGTATGGCAACTTGAACCGATGCATATATGTGCCTGGTCCTACGTTGTAGCTGACTGACTGATTCGTTTATTTTACCTTCATCTGTTCCTAAAACTGGTGTCAATGATCGATTTAAATATACTTATATAGGAGATAACAAGATATACAACGAATAACTAAGAGTATTGATATAGTCTACGATGGTAAAATAATGAGTTAGAGAACGCGATCGGAAATGGAATGAAATCGGAAAACGACCTAATGATTTCACCTATCGATTTCGAAGGTGTTTAAAAAGCTGTTTCAGTTTTGATAAACATGCCTATCTGAGAGCGTTACCTTAGGAGTAAAAGAGTACCTTCTTGTGTCTATTTAGATACCATCTGGATGGAAATTCCTCAGAGTTAATTTCGTTTATTTAACACCTAACGGGCGTTAGGCTGAGATTTGAGAAAAAAGGTTTGTCATTTGTACGGCCATATTTATGAACTTACACAAATCGGATGGTTGGTAGTCATTAGGGGTTTTGTATGTCATTGGACATTTAAATGAACCACAAAATTTTTTCACGTTTAATCAAAGCAGTAACCATGAGCACTTTATGAAGTCTATTGTGTGCAACTGAGTTCGAATTATTTAAACTTAGGCTTTCGTATTTACAAACAACCTATATTTTCTTAATTTAGGAAGCCTTGAAACAATCCATATACCCGGTTCGTATCTATTGTACGCACATACTAAATGAGGTGGACTGCGATACTTATTTCCCAAAACTCGATTGGAGTAAACTGAAAAAAGTTGAGTAAGTATTTAAACTCTCCAATACTCCTTGTGAGGGTCTTTATTTTATGGATAATTATAAATAAATGGATGAAACTACTGATTTATTTGTAGTTCAGTATTTTGTGGTCATCGTATTTGAAGTCCATCAACAGATCCACGAATTATTCAATCACAATTCTACTTCTATTTAAATCTCAACGAAACAAGTACAACATTTGAGTAGAATAATATGGTTCATCTATTTTGTGGATATCAGTTGTCTGAAAAGTGGATTTACACACTTTTGTTAGTTTTTCAAAAAGTATCGATTGAGATAGATAGCATGGAATGCGGGCTATTCCATGGCGACAGATGTGAAATCATTCTTAGCAGTCGTTCAAAATGTTAACTGTTTATAATTATCACCACTAAATTATCCAGTCCCTAAGGAGTTTTAGGGAATTAGTGAAATAAATGAGTTTATATGGCTCTATTCAAATGTTGTTCTTTCTATATATTCGTCTCTACTAAATACATCAGTCAGCCAGCTAATATTGGAAAAATTTCTTATTCTATGATGGGCCTTAAAATTGTAAAATTGATGTCATCATCCTCCGAAATGGACACAAAGCCTCGAGAAAAGTAAATCATCTTTGATTGAACTTTATTCCTATATTTGGTAACTCCTACCTTCAGTCAGCTAGTAGGCATATTAGTGCCGAAAATAAACAGTCGTTAAGTTGTTATGACCGCTCTAATTTCGACATTTGAATGTAGTTAAGAATGCCAACCATCAAAATGGTAGAGGTTATTTCAGAAGTCAAAAACAGTAGTCTGCATGCCATATGTCTTTCCAAAATATTGTCATATTAACCAGTTTAATTTCTTTTTGTTTAGTCTACCGGATATACCAGCGGGTACTTTCACAGAGAATGGATTTACATACAAATTCTGTGTTTACGACGTTCCATCCGAACAGTTTATATAATTTATAAATTCATTAGTAGATATCATTTAATCAAATATTTATTCGTAAAATTTTTAATTTTAAATACAAATCGTTTTATACGTCCCGTTTATTTTCATCATACTTCCTGTAAACCAAGACAATTCAAAGAAAAGATTTTGTTATATTAATCGATTTATCATCACGGTTCTCTGTTAGTCAAACAAACATAGGAGGTCAAATAATATTAAACAAATATCATTAAACTCTTTAGATATGGATTTCTACAAAATATCTCTGAATAGAAGCCAGTATCCTCAGGTCTTGCTTGTTACAATTTATTTGTCGTCCATGATTCATGGAGATAGTTCAATTAATTCACAATAATTAAGCGATTTCGATTACTTCCGATAGCTGCTGATTATTATTGTTGCGATCCTCGGGTCTTCTTTATACGTTTCTTTGTGGATCACTAGATAAGATGCAGATTATAATCCCCTACACGGAGTATACTTTTCTCATTTGTAGACCAACTTAAGCTTCACTTGTGGCCATAATAATCTCAACTCCTATTGGTGCAGAACGCGCGCCTTCTTTTAACCCAATATTTAATCCTAAATAAGCAAACACAGAAAGCGGGTAAGTTATTTTTATTCACTCAGTCATTGCGCCTCGAACATTCATGAGTTTATGTACATAAATTTTCAAACCGCAAATGAGAAATCGTAGTTTATGCACAAACAAGCTCAGAGTGTTAAAGCAACGGGTCAAGTTGTAAATAATTAATTAACAGTAATGAAGAAATAGTAAAATGTTTAGCAATAATTATTGAGTCCAACAGAATCTTACGATATAGGGAATATAGAAACATACTCACCCAGTTATTTGCTAATCACGAAATAATCTTAACTAGAACCCCACTGAAAACCTTGAAGCATTGGAAGCCGTTTGATTATGAGACTCTTCTGCAGTGTAAACCCACACCCGAGAATCAGAGACGGGGCCTGTCTCACGCGCGAACACTTAGCCTCTAGACTATGGAGCCCTCTCTTATTTACACTAAATTGTGCATTCAGTTATACCTACAAATTTAATTGAAGAGAACTTATATATATTAACTTCCACATGTATTCTATGAGATTGAGAGGACGAAAAGGGAACGTCCGGCGCTTTAACCGGGTTGGTGGATACTGAGAGTCCACCTAGGGGAGTTAGAAAACCCTGACTCCAAACCAATGGTACACATGGGCTCCAGTATCCTGAAGGAACCAATCGTTGGTCACCGGCTACCATGGGACTGCATCTCCTTACCTTGCTCCACTGCTTTGTGGATCAGACCTTCAAGTCGAAGGCTCCGGGTGTGGCCCCCTAAGAAAACTACCTGCTTCGATTTGGGCACCCGGGTAGTATCACAGCCCTCACACATCAAATGAGATCTGTGTGGCGCATATGTATTTGGTGCCTCCTTGTACCATATCCGTTAAAATGAATAAAATAAAATGAATATTCTTAGTACTAAGAATATTCAAGCAACCTCAAGTCTTTCGTAACCATAAGTGGCATGTAAGGGACTTTACATAGTATTGAATACTACTATGTCCAATAAGACGAAGTGATCATATCATCCGATCAAAACACTACTATTAACACGACCTAAATCTCTTATTTACACTAAATTGTACATTCAGTTATACCTACAAATTTAGGTGAAGAGTACTTCTTATATATATTAACTTCCAAATGTATTCCATGAGATATCAAAATATTAAGGATCCACTTTTCTGAGTATTGGTTTTAAAAATTTTCCACTTAGCGGCATTGATAAACTGATTGGAACTTAAATGGTCGCTTTAGAGGCAGTAGAGATTATAATTTTGGTTCATCTTCCTACTGATTCAGTGAGCTTACGCCTATTACTCCTAATGGAGCCTAGGCCGCCGACTAGTATTCTCCAACCCACTCTGTCCTGGGCCTTCTTTTCTACTTCCATCCAATTCTTGTTCATTTTTTCATGTCTATTTCCATTTCTCGGCGTAATGTGTTCTCTGGTCTTCCTCTTTTCCTTTAACCTTGAGGATTCCAAGTGACGGCTTGTCTTGTGACGCAGTTGGGTGCTTTCCTCAATGTGTGTCCTATCCACTTCCAGCGCTTCTTCCTGATTTCTTCCTCCACTGGGATCTGGTTTGTTCTCTCCCACAGTACGTTGTTGCTAATAGTGTCCGGCCAACGGATCTGAAGTATTTTGCGTAGACAACTGTTAATAAACACTTGTATATCCTGGATGATGGCTTTTGTAGTTCTCCAAGTTTCCGCCCCATACAGTAGAACTGTCTTGACATTTGTATTGAAAATCCTGACCTTGGTGTTGGTTGACAGGTGTCTTGAGTTCCAGATGTTCTTCAATTGTAAATATGCTGCTCTTGCCTTACCGATCCGCGCATTCACATCCGCATCAGATCCACAATGTTCATCAATGATACTGCCCAAATATGTAAAGGTTTTTACATCTTCCAAATCTTCTCCGTCAAGTGTGATTGGATTGGTGCATTCTGTGTTGTATCGGAGAATCTTTCTTTTCCCTTTGTGTATATTGAGACCTAATGCTGCTGAGGCTGCTGCCACACTGTTCGTCTTCTCCTGCATTTGTTGTTGCGTTTGGGATAGGAGGGCCAGATCATCTGCGAAGTCCAGATCGTCCAACTGCATCCTAGATGTCCATTGTATCCCGTGTTTCCCTTCAGATGTTGACGTCTTCATGATCCAGTCGATCACCAGGAGAAAGAGAAAGGGTGAGAGTAGGCAACCTTGCCTAACACCGGTCGTCACTTCGAACGACTTTGTCAACTGTCCTTCATGCACAATTTTGCAGTGTAATCTATCATATGAGTTCTGTATGATATTGACTATCTTCTGAGGCACGCCGTAGTATCGAAGAAGCTTCCATAGTGTTGTTCTGTCCACGCTATCAAATGAAGTGAGCAGGTAATGAAAATGGCGGAGTTAACATAAGACGACGTTGTTCGCCATGTTTTATGAGTTAACTTAGTTGATTTGGCAGGACCTCATTTGCACAAAGCAGATATATTTGCAAAAAAATTCAGTCAACTACTCGGTCAACTTATTCCATAGTATCTGGGAGTGGCGAAATTTAGGATTGCTAATTGAAATCATGTATTTATTTATTCATCAATGACCGGAAAAGCTCTTATTTTGCAATAGCATATGCGTTGGGTGAAATATAATCAATATTTATGTATATTATTGAGAATAAAATGAATTCTGCTAACAGCTGTTATTACTTGTGTTGACATTTTTAGTTCAGTGAGTAACTAACAGTGGATAATATTTTTCACTTGAAGATCGTCTATGGAGTAGCTATTGTTTAAACAATCAGTGTACACGTTACAGATTTGAAAACTCCGCATCTGACAATTTTTAGGGACAAACCGTTAAAATAAGAACACTGCGAGAGGTTAATAAACATTAGTATTATTTGGAGCAAGACAATATCACTCAATAGTCATGTGAAGTAATTTTTAGATAGTCTTTACTAAACTACTAAGTCACAACGAGCAATGAGTTGTTATCGGAAATGGAATAATAATTATTATAATCACAAGAACACCAGTTTAAACGTTTGATTATCAGTTATTTCACTCGTGGCACAATAATGGAAATAAAAACAATATGAATCATAAAATACGTCAGACAGAATAACAATATTGTTGGGAAATTCAGGTCTGATAATCGTGTAAGTTACAACCATACTAAGTTTAAGAGCAGTTCGAACAACTGGGATCAGATTCATTTTTCTCGTAAGTTGGTCTTATTGGTGATAAAAAACATAAATAGAAAACCAAATTCAGATTAACACAAGCTTTTACTGTGCTTCAAGTGACCGAGTAATACGATTTTTGCAAGTGAGACGTAATGCATGAATTAGAAAATAGGTCGACATTGATTTTGTTTCATGCATTTAGTTCCCCTCATTATCTTGAAGAGAGTAAGAAGAAAGAGTTGAGCAGAATATGAATTCACTTCATTTAGTAAGATTCTCACCAGCTGCTTGGGACCTATATTTTAAGAAATCAAAATAATTGTGAAGTTTACATTCTTATAAGTGGTGGAGAGATGAGTTTGAAGACATATTGTTGCGAATACTTTGGAGGCGATGCATTTAAAACAAGGAAAAAAACTGCAGGAATGATGTAGTAAACTGGCGATAAAATAGCTATGCTGAGGAAACATTTTCTTTGGAAACGTAAGTAGACTATGGCTTCGGTGAGTCTGAGTATCGACTGATGATGCTGAAAGACTTCAGTCCATCAACTTGATGTCTTGCAATACCACCGCTAGAAGCCATTACTCTCATTGACCTGAGATATATGGGATATCTTCTTGAAATCGAACACAGGCCCTTTTTCCGTTCAACCAATGTAACTGCTTGGTCGGTAAATGTAAATTTGTATGGGCAGTTGGTTGTAACACAGAAGGGGTACCTATCGAACTTTGACAGGAGTAAGGAACATATTGTTTTGTGCAGAATAATCCGCTTGTAGGACAAGTCCTATTAAGTGTGGTTTTAATATTCTCTATATAATTATTTCAAAATCGTCACCTTCGAATTCAAGTTGAATGAAAATCGGTTTCTTTTCTGCTGTAGTTTCTTGGGCATTTTGTCTCTATATATCCCATATTTCACAATAAATTTCCTTGGATACCCACTATTCTTTAAGCCTTGTTTAACTTTCATTAATTTTACTCGTGTATCGATACAACATATCTGCTCCATTCTGTTTTGTAACTAATCAGACAAAAGCTGTTAAGATTTAGATAAACACCATCCCATGTATCTTTTCAAAAAACTGAATGTTGAACTGTACCATCCTCCCTTTGTTGTATGGTAATGTTAAGAAAGTGGAATTTATCGCCCTTTTCCGGTCCCATGGTAAACTGTCTATTTTAATAAGCGTCGTTGAGAAGTTTTAGTTGTCGTTGAACATTACATATAATAAAAGTGTCATCAACATAATTTGCATAATACATCATTCTATCAACTACTCCTTTAAGCTTGGCCTTTTCAAGGTTAGCCATGAATGTATCTGCAAGGACAGGATCAAGTGAACTTTCTTTTACTACACCATAAGTTTAACGGGGTATAATGTTATCAAATCGATTTTAGTCGTTTCGTAGTATCAAACCGTAAATTCATCACCACTACGAATTCTATAGAATATATTAATCTTTATGGATACTATTGCGTAAGATACATCCCAAACATCATCCCATAATAGTTCACAAATAGACGCCACGCTATTTTTACACTGTATTAGTACAGAACGCGAATAATGTTTAACGAACAACGGTAATGGAACAAAGAAATTAACGTGATGAACCAGATTCGTATTTGAATAAATAAATTTTTTGAGTAAAAAACCATGGAGTTCATTTTGTGATGATAAGATGAATTATGAAATTCGACCTCAAATTAGATTTAAAATATAGGATATAGCTATAAAATGGAAGATGTTATAGTATAGCTATATGAAGATTTCTTAAATAAGAAATGATTCAGGGACAAAATTACTGAATTTTAGGGGAATATATCATGATGTAACCTTATCTTAGGAAGGTTCGACAAGCTGTTAATAAACTGAAATATAAGATCCCGTTTGACTGGCATACATTTGCCACTATATTTGCGTAGCTTAGCTGTCTCATTCAAACATGTTGACATTTTTGTTGTATGTGTTTAGGCCACATTCACACCATTTTATTATTGCTCATTTAATTTGCACATTACGTGACCCTTGACTACCCAGTTGATCTGGTGGATAAATACATTGTTATTACTCACAACCTACGTTGTCTGGTTTTTACATACAATTTTAACTTCGTGATTTGATTTGAATGAAAATCCGAGATCAGTATACATCACCTAGTAGTCATTCCAACACAAAGAAAGCTAACAAACATGACAAATAATCCTAAATCTATATAATATATTTTAGATAATAAATTTCACAGATTGTAATCATGAGTCAATTGAAGCTAGACCACCATGGAAAACCTGGAAGCACTGGACGGCCGCTTCGTCCCAGTATGGGACTCCTCAGCAGTGCGCATCCACGATACCGCGCCCCGCGAGATTCGAACCCGGGATCTATCAGTCTCGCGCCAAGCACTTAGCGAACTAGACCACTGAGCCGGCATCCGATGGTGTTAATGTCTAACTTCAACCAACCCACGAAGTTGCGCTACGGTATACTATTGTCTTCAGAGAACTGATATCTCACAACAGACCTGGTTGAACTCCACGTGGTGCGCACTGCTGAGGAGTCCCATACTGGGACGAAGCGGCCGTCCAGTGCTTCCAGGTTTTCCATGGTGGTCTAGCTTCAATTGACTTATGATTTCAATCTGTGAAATTTCTAAAATCTCCACAAACCCCTTCTGATAGTTTAAATAATAAACTCGGTTATTATTTACTTGAACACATGAACATTGGTGCGAGAGAGCACCATATGTATATTCGCCACACAAAACAATGAGAATGGGAAGAGAAAAATAATGTAAGGTGCGTATAAGAAAAAAAGAACAATAACGACTACAGATTAGTGTACGGTAGTGTAATATTAATAATAATAGTGGGGGAAACGCAAAGGTACAACCAGAAGGATTCTTTCAGTTAAGAAAGTTACAACCACTTTTTATGAAGAAAGTAAAAGAAGGTTACAGCAGGATCGCCTCTCTTCTATTCTGAGCCATATCTGATAACGTCCCTACCCATTGTGCTGCACTATCTCTCGGACCCCAGCCTGGGAGTCGAGAAGGACCGACAGAAGCCAACCTTTTGCAGCTTTCTTTCATACCACGACACAATGTCATACACTGACCACCTCTCCGCCAAAAGGTGGCCCAGACTGGCATAAACCGCTCTGACTTTCACTATACGTGCACTGATCTCATCACTCATGCCACCACCAGCACTTATGCAGCTACCTAGATACACGAACTTCTCGACTACTTCTATCTGCTCACCAACCAGGGTGAGTACAGGATTAGGATCCTGCCAGTCTTGTAGAAGTACTTTGCACTTCGAAGGTGCAATGCACATACCGTACCTACGGACACTGATTGCCAACTGATTACGTGAGGATTGCATGGCTTGGGCATTATCGCACAGTAAGACAATATCATCCGCATACTCAAGGTCGAGAAGTCTTTCTCCAGACAACAGGTCCACACCGCCATCACTTACATCCATCAGGGCTGTTTCCAGGACGTCATCAATGGCAAAGTTGATAAAGAATGGTGAGACTGGGCGACCCTGTCTAACCCCACTTCGTAAATGGAACAATGGAGAGAGGTGGTTGTATACCCTCACTCTGCCTGAGGTGTTTGTATATAGGGCTTTGCGGATGTTAATAAACTTCTCAGGCACACCCTTCTTCAATAGATAATCCCAGAGAACGGTCCTGTCTAGCGAATCGAAGGCAACCCTGATGTCAAGAAACACTACGATTGTTGGCCTTTGATAAGTATGACGGTGTTTTAACATTTGGCGGAGGGTGACCAGAACGAAAACCAGCCTGCAAAGTGGTTTCAGAAAAACTGCTTCAGTATTCGTATTTGGTGGTAGCACACAATTTTCAACCAGGCAGTGACTCGTGAACCTTTAGATAGAACCGAGTTTTCACCATAGGCGAACTGTTGTATAAGTCGAAAAATAAGGATACATAAAGCGGGAATAAAAGAGAGTGAATAAATGACGTAGTAAATAATAATAATGTGAACTGTTTGACTATAAAGCGAAGCGTGAATAATGTTTTCAGTAAATATCGTAATTTTCATATTATTTGCGTGTGGGCTGTGATGCTGCCCGGGTGCGCAGACCGGAGCAGGTGGTTTTCTTAGGGGGCCACACCCCGAGCCTTTGACCTAAAGGTCTGACTGATAATTCGGATGATGAAAATGTATTGGAATTATTTTCATTTGTCATTATTTTGCGAGAATTCCTAAACAATAGACGACTACTACAAATACATTGCTTTTGATCAATCCATACTTTGTGTTATCTCTTCAATTTTTATTTAACACACATTGGTACAAGGATGTACACCACATAAATCATTCGGTTTTTGTGAGGGCTGGGATACTGCCAGGGCGTCCAAGTCGAAGTAGGTGGTTCTCTTAGAGGGCCACACCCGGAGCCTTCGACCTAAAGATATAAACTACAAGCTAGTGGAGCAACGTAAGGAGATGCAGTCTTATGGTGACTCGTGACCAACAATAGGTCCATACGCCATTTGTTTTCTTAGGATCCCGGAGCCCATGTGCACCAATAGTTTACAATCATGATTTTCTAACTCTCTTAGGTGAATCCTCCATATACACCAGCCCGTTTAAAGCGCCGGATATTCGCTGTTCGTCCTCTCAATTTCCTAAACCACACTCTGTTATAATCTTTTTCTTACGGTTATAACCCCAGCTATTCCTATTGCTTAGTATTCTTGGACACCAAATCACTCGACAAGACCCCAAATCAGAACACGGTTGAACAGGAAAGAGATTATATCCCACATAACAAGGTTAGATGGAAGTAAGATGCAAGTAAGAAGCACAATAGGGAGAAACGTCAGCATATTTATAGTTTTTACATGAGAAGATTCTTGAGTATTCTCCAACTATCGACTGGTGCTGATTGGATAAGGATTAGCCAATCAGCGTGCACCAAAGCAATCGTGCATTGAACATGCTTTAATCTAGTCTATGTCCCGCTAACACACCCCAGCCGCGAGAAGGCAGTGAGTAGGACTTCCCTGGTAGTGCTTGTATGCACGTGGCCATGTGAGAGCATTTCGAGAGAAAGGGCTGACTTTCCCCACTCTCGGCCGTACCGGAGTATTGGGGGGCTTTCAATCGCCACTCTACCTGTCTATTTATGTTATGAATGGTTAGTAATAATATTTTAAATTGTAGATCCACGAAGGTACATTATTCTGTTGAAATATCATTCCCGATTTATTCGAGTAAACGTTGTGGTGAATGTGCATGAAAGTTCGCAATGAAATATTAGTAGAACCCACGAAACAAACTGGTTCAGATTTGAATACTAGGATAAATAACAAGATTACTGCTTGCTACACAAGTTTTTTGGGTGATTGTGATTTATTACAGGATGAAACGATAAATGTTTTGTTCTTTGAGGCAAATAGTTCGGACAGAAAGAACCCATCAAGCTCAAGAAACATGTCACTTTAAATCCTCCTACTTAACAAAACATCGCTTCCATCATCTCAATAGAATATACCGTACATTCAGTGATGTGGATTAACATTGAATTCCAATAACATTTCCTGCGGTCTCCTAATCCCAACTACAAAAAATCCTGGTATATTTCCGATCATTTTTATTGGCCGTATCATAACTATAACATGCAAAACAAACGCTATGAACGAAAATATTTACTTCGTACAATACGATTATGAGTAAGGACGATCAGAGTATCTGTTCATTACTGTAAGCTATAGATGACTAAAATTATCCAAAACATGTATAAATATTGCTGGATGAATGAATAATGAAGCAATTATCGATAGGGATCATTCTTCGCTTCATTTCTTTTTTCCCTGGTTCGCCACACGTGCTATAGCGGCTGCTACTGTCGCTTCATCGGCAAGATAATAGTGTTTGGTTGGCTTCAAGTTTGCATCCAGTTCATAAACTAGTGGAATACCTAGAAAAACGCAAAATACATTGAACGTTAGAGTACCAAACGATGTTATTTAGCTTCATCACGAAATTGTGCAATTAGGTTAACAAAACTTTGAGGGTTAGCCAGCTGTTATACATTACTCATATCATTAGCTAATCAACCTTTTCTTAATGAACTTAATTAGTCATGTCATGTTGAGGAAGCCCAGTAACTACTCAAGGTTTTATATTTCATCAACTAATTTTCCATGCTAATTGTATTTACTGTTCTCTTTATTTATGGTTTTGTCGAACAAGTTATTCAGTATTGGTTTGATATTTTAACGTGCTATTTTGTGAACCAAGAACGGCAATATTTGCAGAATACAATGAATCGACCGTTTTGTTGTTTCGGCCCAGTTACATAAAAGCTAATAAGCTTAGTGATTTGAAATCTTACCATAACCGTAAAGTGCAAATTATGTTAAGAATTAAAGTTTTAGCAGAGATCATATAAATGATAGGAGAGACAGTTCTAAAATGTCTCAAATAATTTCATTACATAATATCACGAGAATACAGAAGGTTAAGAAAAAGACGTTTTGTGCAATTCTTCTCTCCAAAGTGACTACTCGTCTACAGGTTTCAAAATACAAATATGTTATGTGCACAAAAAATATTCCATTCGATATAAAGGTAACAATTAGTCTTAGTGTTTCACGAATTTAATAAAATTAGTTTATAACTAACGAATGCTGATTCTAATTTCCGAAAATCGTTTAATACTTTAGTAAACGAGTTTCCTGATACACTGTAATACAAAACGAATTACCAGCCGTTTGGTTTACGAAGTCAATAAAAGAGTAACTTTTCTTAAAAAAGAGCACCCAGAATATTGTTATAAGTTATTTACACATTGAAACAAACAGGCAAATAGTGTCAAAAGATATTTCAAAATTTTCGGACAAACTCAAGTAAATTTTTAAAAAGAATGAAGATATTTTAAACTAACTATCATGACAACACCAACTTTTTACAAGTATCATACGTAATATATCCTTGACGCTTAACAACCACAATACCAAATATGTTTAGAAATCGAGAAGATACAAGAGAGGATCAAATTCTTCGCAAAAACCATTCCATGGGATTACTAAGAAAATTATCAGCGATATATTTATTAATGTCAAGCTAGAAAAAACAACACTAAACTAACCAGTGGGTATATTAAGCTCCACAATATCTGAATCCGATGTATTATCCAAGTACTTGATAAGCGCTCGTAAACTGTTTCCATGGGCGACAATCAGAACCTGTTCGTGCCTCTAAATTTATAGAAGGAATGAACCACGAGGTCAGTCAAATACAGCACAAAATAAGTAAGAAAATTGATAATATTAAAAAGTCCTCGTTTGTGTGTGTTATTGTTAATTGCCTAAAAACGTCTAATCATCTAAACTAATCCAACTAGTAAAATAGGGCTTAGTCCAGTTATATAATAGAAGCTTTATCAGGTGAAAACATTGATGATATCCGGGTTTTTTTATTTTAAATTAATCTGATCCGTTTAATATTTAAATTCTGTTACTAGGCGAATGGGCGGGATGGATTTCCGAAACCTCCAGGAAGAGGTCCTTATCACACGAGCAAGTTTGAAAAAGCAAGAACAGCAAGCCAGGTTTATCAATGGGGAAAATTGTGCAAGTCCAAGCGATCGAAAATAAAACTAGTTTCGGAGCTAGTTTATGATCAGTTTTTATTAGTGAAGACTGACTGTAATGCGTCAAGATGTTACATTAGTAGATTATCAGTTGTAGTAGAAACAAGATACAACTCAGCAGTAATGACTGACTATTGACTAATCAACATGAAAAAAGCTCTCAAAGAAAGGATAAAATGTTGATCAAACTCCTTTTATGTAGACTTTTAAGTGTTTTGGAATTTTTTAGATCAAAATTGATTTCTTTTATTGAACTGACGAACTGGATTCAAGTTTATTTTGATGAGTAAACTGGTGTCGAATAATGTTAACCTATCTGCTAACTTGATACTACACAATCAATGGAGGTTGGGCTATCAAAAAGACCATATAAGGAGTGTTTTAGTCACAGAATGAACACTTTATATTTGAGTGACAAGTAATGCTTAAATACATTTCCACTAGCGAGCACAGCTACTTTAATTTTTAGATAATACCATTTTACAATATAGCCTTACAGTTTTTAGAATTCTACATTTCGAAAGGTAATCTCTAGATTCTATAATATGAAAACATACAAATTACAATATCACCGCTACCTAATATTACCATTACATTCGAAATAACCAACTTTCACTATAGTTATCCTGAATTGTTTATCAAAATGTAAGTACTCTTATTTACATTGTATCATACTTAATCGATACCTTTGAAATACAGATGAATTTATAGTCGATTAAAGTGATTGTTAAATGTTTGACAAAATAAAGAGTCTCCAGTTTCTAAATAGAATGATAATATATCAGAAAATGTAAAACTGATGAAACAAAAATTGTTTGAAATGAAAAAATGTAATATGTTTATACCTTGATGCTTGCAGAAATAGTATCAAACCAAAATGGCAGTACACGTTGAACAGTGTCCTTCAAACACTCAGTACGTGGTATGCAGGAAGAGTCAAGTAACTGAAAACGAAATCAATCATTAAGATAATATCAAGCTTGCGTCATGTAAGCATGTAGTAAAGTAACTGAATATCGCAAGCAGAAACAGGTAACAAAAGAGCTGTAACTAGTGTAAAAACGTTTGAGAAATCTGGAATCCTGTTTACGACTGTAAACACTTACGTTCTCTCTCAACTATGATCACAATGAATGAAGTATACAAATACTGGTATATTTCCAAACATATAATTGTAGTGTAATACAATCATCAATAAAAACAGTTCGTGATACAGTAGAGGTTTATGTGCTAGGCTTTAAATTACACTTATATGGAGGCTGGATATTAGCATGTTGAAGCTCCGAAACCCGGATCTCCAAATAAATAGATGAAATCACTATAATTTAAATCATGGAACTTTGTAATGTAGATTTATAAAGAAAAGTATCATATAAACAAAAACAAGTGTTGCGAGTCCGGGTGTTATATTTCTCTCTTACGGTTATAACCCAGCTATTCCTACTGCTTAGTATTCTTGGACACCAAATCACTCGACAAGTCCCCAAATCAGAACACGGTTGAACAGGAAAGAGATTATATTCCAAATAATAAGGTTAGATGGAAGCAAGAAGCACAATAGGGAAAAAGTTAGTATATTTATAGTTTTTCACATGAGAAGGTTTCTGGAGTGTTCACTAAGTATTGACTAACGCTGATTGCACAACAATTAGCCAATCAGTGTGCGCCAACGCAAGCGTTCATTGAGCGATCTAATCCTATCTATGTACCGTTAACACAGGGGATAGAGAATAATATGCTGATACAAATACAAATGCTAAAGCAAGCAATTGAAATGCGAAAATCCTAAGAGTTTCTACTTACTAAAAAAGTTCGTCACTTTTTTAGTACAGTAAGTTAAAACTGATATAACATTATTAGGGATTTCGATGAGTGGCTGATAAAATCTCGAGTTACAGAATTAGATAATTTATACATCTACATATTTCATGGTTTGCAAACAGAAACGAAACGAAAATACTGCCTTTAATTTGAACGGCTTTATTTAATGAATGCCTCATTGCCTTTCATATAGTTTCAAGACCCAAAAAACCGTGATTGATAAAATAATGCCGAAAAATCAAAAGTAGGATATATGCTGGAGCAAAGTACAACACACCGATGAATTCTTACTACTTAACTCTGGTGTAATTAGTTTACAAAAGATACATTAATGACTATCGACTAACACTTCTGCGTTGTTTGCCAGATCTTTTTATCGTATTAACAACCCAACTGAGTTTAGTGGATATTACACAGCTATAAGAACGATAAAGATGGGTGAATATTAGTGAGAACGTTAACACTTTATAACTGAAAGTTACAAAACAGGATCATAAAAATAAGCAAAGTGGGCATTAACATAGATGATTATACCAGGGAAGTTTGTCTACCCGATTGGCTTAGCTCAACAGTCAGTGACTTTATGGGCTGTGAGGGCTAGGATACTGCCAGGGCGTCCAAGTCGAAGTAGGTGGTTCTCTTAGAGGGCCACACCCGGAGCCTTCGACCTAAAGATATAAACTACAAGCTAGTGGAGCAACGTAAGGAGATGCAGTCTTATGGTGACTCGTGACCAACAATAGGTCCATACGCCATTTGTTTTCTTAGGATCCCGGAGCCCATGTGCACCAATAGTTTACAATCATGATTTTCTAACTCTCTTAGGTGAATCCTCCATATGCACCAGCCCGTTTAAAGCACCGGATATTCGCTGTTTCTCCTCTCAATTTCCTAAACAACACCGCAGCCGCGAGAAGGCAGTGAGCAGGACTTCCCTGGTAGTGGTTATATGCACATGGTCACTTGAGAGCATTTCGAGAGTTGATTTTCCCCACTCTCGACCGCACCGGGGCATTTAGGGGTCCTACACCAGTAATTATTGCGCGTTGATGTAGCCGATGGATGGGGATACATAATACATATCTTAACCATCTCAGCCAATGGTTATTTATTTATTTGAACACATAAACATTAGTACAAGGGGGCACCAAATACATAGGCGCCACACAATAGCGATGAGACCAATAGTAGTTATTATTGATTTGTGTGAGGGCTGTGATACTGTTTCATCAATCGACTTACCATCCTTACCTATTAATCTGTCTAACTATTGCGTTGCTAGGACAATGATTTCATAATATATGAGTAATGGTTGGAAGATACCTATAATTGAATACTAGTAATTTACGAATAGTCGCTATTTTTAAAGAATGTTTCGCAGCCATAAAGAAGAACTGAGCCAACTGATGACCAATATAATTACTGGTGTGTAAAACCTTGTGACTTCTGACAGTAAAAATAATCCGGGGTTTTATAGGGAAACTCATATACTCCAACTTATTACTTTTAGCTTGTACTTGTTGATTTTTCATCTACAAATAAAGCGTGGGGATTTGTCGCTAAAAATCTAAGTGTCATTTACAGATAATTATTTATGTCGGAACTGCTTCGAAAAGCACGACAAATCCTCTAGGGGCTCTACAGGAGCCAGAAATTCCATCCAATCAGAACCTGATAGAAACTTTTAGAATACTACGGGGCATGCTAAGATTGGACAATAGCATGACTTGCTTTTTGCGGATCGGCCGAATTGTAATGATGTTATAGCCAATACTAATAACTACAAATACCCATGTTTTTCTGTAAATTTTTGATTCTTACCCAACAATCCTTGCTTCTTCCGTCTTTTGATTCGAGACTACGGGGTTCTACATGTTCGAGTGCCGTTAGTCGCATATCGTATTCTGCCGTAATCAAGTACAGGACACAACAATTCACCAACGATTTACGAGTTTATCTAATCTAGTAGATGTATGTTTATTTTAAATACGAATGCTAACGCTCCGGAATACTTTTAAGGTGAAAGCAGCAAGCATTCTTTTCGCCGCACGTACAGAAACAGATAACATGAGAATACATGTACTACATGAAAAGACCAAGAAGTTCAGTGAATTTGGTTTCAAGACGTAATGGTAAATCATAGTCGCTTTGTACCAGGTGGCACTTTGCAAAAGCAGTATAGCATGAATGAGAGAGACTATAATTTATGAACGAACCAATCAGATTTATGATAACAGGTCTTGAATTTTGTCCCGAAATTCAATCATTCATTTGGCTAAATAAAGTTTTGGCATTATAGATGTCAGTTCGTGATGAAAACCATGTATCTTATTCCTAACCCTAACTACCAACTGTAAATATTAGTCCTAATCCCTTACACTGGTTTATAACATTTATTTAGCCGTAGTATGTAGGTGGATATTCTCATGGTCTCTTTAGCATCGCTCAAAGATCGTCCATAAATTATATTCACACCCGTGTGTGTGCTTAGAAAGTCTAAACAAGGGTTCTTAATGTTTGTGTATGCCATTGGGTTTTGTTGAGTTAAAGTATGTGACTGAAAAGTATAGAAAATATTCCTAGTTCATCAGTCAAGCGATCGCCAGTAAAATTGAATTCTTAAACGCCAAACTTCGTTCATTACGCACATATATTAAGTATGTTATGATCGTACAAACTGCAGTTAATATTTATAAAATCCTAATATTACTGTTGAGTCCAGTATATATATTCCCAGAAAAGAGACCAACCGTAAGCACTTTTCTGATCGAACTTCCAATAAACAAATCTAATGTCTATGCTACATCAAAGGCTTAAAACTGGTAACTAGGTTTTAATATTGTATTGAAATTGTTGGAATATTTAGGACTTTTGAGATTAATATGTGAACAGAATCTGGACTGTACGGTCTACAATATGTTCGTAGTTAAATGAGGTCATTTCTGAGCCTCCGTTATCTAATGACCGGATTGAAAAAACAAATACTACATAAACAGATCCTTATGAATCAATATAAAACCAGACATGATTTTTATAACCAGGTGTAGCGACTGCACCCGTTTCAACCAGCAATGCGAGCGGGTGAAGAAGTATACCAGGGTGAATAAGTATATTTCATTTTAGGGGATTAAGAGTATGTGAAAAATTGAACAGGTTGACGAATTATAGAATAAACGAGTTTAAAAGTCAGCCCTGTATAATGTAGGACCTGGTACATACGTTAATCGGTATAAGGAATATGATAAGTTCAGTCCATAATGTTTTTAAAAAATATCTTTAAGAGAAATGGAAATACTTACGGCATACTTTGGCTCATTACCGGGGAAGCGAGGATCTGAAGTATCAACAGGAGGGGGAGGTATATCATAAGCACGTCTCCATATTTTAACTTGTTCTTCTCCATGTTTGGCAGCGGTTTCAGACTTATTTAGACCTTGAAGAGCACCGTACATCCTTTCATTTAGACGCCATGTTCTGTGGTAAATAGAAAACATATGAATTTTAAAAGTCAGTATTTTAGAATAAAACTTGTCAAGTGTACTTTTGTTTAATCTAAAGGTTAGCTTACATGAAATTAAAACCAGAAAATTTGTGTTCGATGAAATAGTGGGTAAAAATGAACAAGGAAACCGGAACAACTTCCGCGATAAGATGGGACAAAAAGGTAACACTATTTTAGGTCACTATCTCTTGTTAATTGATTCTATGTATTCATCTATGTGGATTACATTCAGTGTTTCTGCAGCAACAATGTATTTGCCCCCATGTAAGAACATTAAGTATATGTAAATACTAGTATATAAACGTGCATTCCAAGCTACTGGTGCACATGGGCTCCAGAACCCTAAGAAAACAAATGGCGTATGAACCTATTGTTGGTCACGGGTTACCATAAAACTTTATCTCCTTACGTTGCTCCACTGGTTAGTACGTTAGAACTTCAGGTCAAAGGCTCAAGGAGTGTTCTCTTCAGAAAACTATCTGCTTCAGTTTGGACACCTGGGTACTCCAGCCCCCATAAATTCGAATGACGAGATGTGGCGCATATATATTTGGTGCCTCCATGTACCAACGTTTGTGTTTGGATAAATACGCAGTAAGCCCCCGAATGCCCTGGTACGGCCGAGAGTGGGGAGAGTCCGCTCTCCCTCTCGAAATACTCTTACACGGCCACGCGTATACAGCCTCTGCCAGGGAAGTCCTACTCATTGCCTTCTCGTGGCGGGGGTGTTGTTTACGAAAATGAGAGGACGAAAAGCGAATGTCCGGCGCTTTAACCGAATCCCAAACCAATGGTGCACATGGGCTCCAGTATCCTGCGGGAACAAATGGCGTATGAACCAATCGTTGGTCACCGGCTACCATGGGACTGCATCTCCTTACGATGCTCCACTGCCTTGTGGGTTAGACCTTTAGGTCAAAGGTTCAGGGTGTGGCCCCCTAAGATAACCACCTGCTTCGGTTTGGGCACCCGGGCAGTATCACAGCCCACACAGAGTATGGCGCATATATATTGGCGCTCTCTTGTACCAATATTCATGTGTTCAAATAAATAAATAAATAAATACGCAGTAGGACTAGAGATACACCAGCAGTGATACGGACAAAACACTCGTTGAGTGAAAATTGACAAGCGAATTAGGGAGGATGATAATGAAGACTAGATTGCAAGTTTGAACAGTATGTTGTTAGCTAATCGAGATTTTCGAGAATTAAGTAGAGGAATACTCAGAGGTCATTTGTTACATAGGTGTGCTCTTACAAGGTCTATAACACACCATAGGATGAACTTTTGCAGGTTATAAGAAAGTGCGATCCTAACAAGTTGTTTATTTGACGGGCAACTACCAATATCTTGTAAATACATGTGAAGGTATTTACAATCTAACGAGAACTGTATATATTTGAAAGCAAAACTCAATAAATTTTGCAAACTGACATATCTTCATCTACCAACCCAACAGTTTTTTGAATAATCGAACTTCTACTTTTACTTAGTATTCTACGTCGAACTCTAGAATTATTCTCTCGTTTCTTTCGCTACATTTGACAAGCACAAAACAAAACTCATGACCAAGAAATAGAAGTTTTATTACTGCTAGTGAATATAAATTGAAGTTACTTGGCTCTGAAACAATGGGAGACTACCAAATTACATTAATTTGGATTGTAAGATCTATTTGATTTGGAGGCTTAATTACCTTAATTGTGAACTAAATGTTGCTATCTTTTTAACTCCCCTATTTTGATCTAAAAGCAGTTGTGGGAGAGACAATGAGACGTACTATATTCCGCAAACCCTACCAAATATTTTTCTTGTCATGCCGAAATGGGGGAATATAACGCTTACTTTGGAAGGAACAGAACATGGATAAGTGGGTTAAGTAGGTCTATAATTTCTGGACGCTACTCTTTGCTGGTTTCCAGCGGATCTTAACAATAAATGTGCAACTATTTCAGATATATTCCCCGCGACTGTCAACAGGATCACTGACAGTATCATAAACTCGTAATGAAAATTTTGAAAAGAGGGATGAAAATCAAAGTCACATGAAACACTCGAGTGACACAACATAAGAAATGAAAAACCAGAATAACGCACTTCATCACAGGTATCCAGTTAAGATCAAGTTCATCAAGGACAAGGTTTAAAGTCTTGATGGCTCTTTTTAGAACACTTGTATAGGCGATGTCAAAGGTGAAATGATTTTGGTGAAGAAGTTGGCCAGCTTGCTTAGCTTCAGTGATACCTTGTCCTGAAAGGTCTGCATCGTGCCAACCACAAAATCGATTTTCTTCATTGTAAACACTCTCTCCGTGACGGATAAACACGATCCTGTAAGGAGCCATGCCGCGATAAACCTGAAAAGTTTCAAACAATACATTGGTACCCATGCCTCTTCTTGACTAACAGGAAATAACAGACCTGACAATCGAAAACCAGGCAGCAAACTGAAAGCCTGCTTTCAACTAGTTGGAGACAGCTTTCAGGCTATAGTGAGTGTTTGAATTCATATAAGTGCTCAAAAACATCCTAACCCTGTGTAAATTTAGGGGAAACCCCTAATTATATGCAGATTTGAGTCTCATTTCGTAGTATTATCCCAAAATTCACCCACAATTGTCAATGAGACTGTCCCAAAACTGATCAATTTTGTCCAAACGTAGGTAGCTTGAGCGGCGCCCAAGTTTGTTTGTCACAGACTATAACTGTACTTCAATACTTACCACTCTGGTAATGTCGGAATAACCACGAAATATCCTTACTCCCCATAGACTAATAATACCAAAGTTGAAAAGTCTATTCCATTTCATGTCAAATGGAATATTAACGACCCAAATATTCCACTTTAAATCTCAAAGGGGGCCTTAGAGTACCCCTTAGTGAATGGAGGATGCAAAAGGACGACTTAGTTCACTACAACCCAATTAAATCCAGCAGACTTAACGCACCTAACAAACCAAAGACTAAATCACGTACACCAACCAATAATCCTCAAAACCCACTGCTTGTCGGTACAAGTTGTTTGATTAGTCTAAACAAAATCGCATCATCTATCACATGTATTTGTGACTAGTCGTTACAAAATTTTAAACCTTTTTATATAACACTTTAATCCTATAAAACTACCAATGAAGCTACCTGCATGACATGCAACCTTGCTTAATCATCACACACTGCAGAATTGGACAACACTGGATATGAAGACATCATGGGACGACACGGACTGGGAGAAAGAAACGAAACTGGTTAGAGATTTGTAAACCTATGTGCCTTCAATAAACTGGTCATAGGCGGCACCATATTCCCACATAAACGCATACACAAAACCACATGGACTTCACGGGATCACACCACGCAAAACCAAATTGACCATATTTGCATCAACAAAACGTTCAGGAGGACTATAGAGGACGTGAGAACCAAGAGAGGAGCTGATATAGCATCAGATCATCACTTGCTGGTCACCAAGATGAAATTGGCACTCAAGAAGCACTGGACAACGGGGCGGACAATATCACAAAAGTTCAATACGGCCTTTCTTCAGGATACTAACAAACTCAACAAATTCAAGATAGTCCTCAGCAACAAGTTCCAGGCCTTTCATGATCTACTCAGTGGAGAAGGAACTACTATGGAGAGCAACTAGAAGGGCATCAAAGAGGCAATCACTTCAACATGTCATGAGGTCCTGGGTCACAAGAAGTACCATCACAAGGAATGGACCACTGTTCATACACTGGATAAGATCCAAGAAAGGAGGAACAAGAAGGCAGCAATCAATACCAGTCGAACAAGAGCAGAAAAAGCCAAGGCACAAGCCGAATACACAGAAGTAAACAAACAAGTGAAGAAGAGCATCAGAACCGACAAACGTAAATATGTGGAAGACCTAGCAATGACGGCGGAAAAGGCTGCAAGAGAAGGAAACATGAGACAACTTTATGACACAACAAAGAAACTCTCTGGAAATCACCGTAAACCAGAACGACCAGTGAAAAGCAAGGAAGGCAAGGTAACCACCAACATTGAACAGCAACGAAGCAGGTGGGTAGAACACTTCAAAGAACTCTTGAATTGACCAGCCTCACTGAACCCACCCTACATCGAAGCAGCACCCACGGACCTCCCAATCGATGTTGGCTCACCAACAATTGAAGGTGTCAAGAGTGGCAACGCAGCAGGACCGGACAGCATCCCGGCAGAGGCACTGAAAGCAGACGTAGCGGCGACTGCAAGGATACTCCACATTCTCTTCAATAAGATTTGGGATGAGGAACAAGTACCAACAGACTGGAAAGAAGGACTCCTGATCAAAAAACCGATGAAAGGCGATCTCAGCAAATGTGATAACTACAGGGGAACCACTCTTCTCTCAATACCAGGGAAAGTCTTCAACAGGTTATTATTAAACAGGATGAAGGACTGCGTAGACGCCCAACTTCGTGACCAACAGGCAGGATTCCGTAAGGATAGATCGTGTACAGACCAAATCGCAACTCTACGGATCATTGTGGAACAATCAATTGAATGGAATTCATCACTCTACATCAACTTCACTGACTACGAAAAGGCATTTGATAGCGTGGACAGAACAACACTATGGAAGCTTCTTCGATACTACGGCGTGCCTTAGAAGATAGTCAATATCATACAGAACTCATATGATAGATTACACTGCAAAATTGTGCATGAAGGACAGTTGACAAAGTCGTTCGAAGTGAAGACCGGTGTTAGGCAAGGTTGCCTACTCTCACTCTTTCTCTTTCTCCTGGTGATCGACTGGATCATGAAGACGTCAACATCTGAAGGGAAACACGCGATACAATGGACATCTAGGATGCAGTTGGACGATCTGGACTTCGCAGATGATCTGGCCCTCCTATCCCAAACGCAACAACAAATGCAGGAGAAGACGAACAGTGTGGCAGCAGCCTCAGCAGCAGTAGGTCTCAATATACACAAAGGGAAAAGAAAGATTCTCCGATACAACACAGAATGCACCAATCCAATCACACTTAACGGAGAAGATTTGGAAGATGTAAAAACCTTTACATATTTGGGCAGTATCATTGATGAACATTGTGGATCTGATGCGGATGTGAATGCGCGGATCGGTAAGGCAAGAGCAGCATATTTACAACTGAAGAACATCTGGAACTCAAGACACCTGTCAACCAACACCAAGGTCAGGATTTTCAATACAAATGTCAAGACAGTTCTACTGTATGGGGCGGAAACTTGGAGAACTACAAAAGCCATCATCCAGGATATACAAGTGTTTATTAACAGTTGTCTACGCAAAATACTTCAGATCCGTTGGCCGGACACTATTAGCAACAACGTACTGTGGGAGAGAACAAACCAGATCCCAGTGGAGGAAGAAATCAGGAAGAAGCGCTGGAAGTGGATAGGACACACATTGAGGAAAGCACCCAACTGCGTCACAAGACAAGCCCTCACATGTAATCCTCAAGGTTAAAGGAAAAGAGGAAGACCAGAGAACACATTACGCCGAGAAATGGAAATAGACATGAAAAAAGTGAACAAGAATTGGATGGAAGTAGAAAAGAAGGCCCAGGACAGAGTGGGTTGGAGAATGCTGGTCGGCGGCTTATGCTTCATTGGGAGTAACAGGCATAAGTAAGTAAGTAACTGCAGAATTAGCAAAGTGTTAGTTCCTTTGAATTTGTATCTATATTGTGTAGAATTGATTTTGCGTACGAACATATATGGCTCTTACTGCACATGCCCTCTGGAGATTTGCTAAAAAATAATTCATTTAGGCTTTTACTAGCATCTACTATACAGTTTACATCAATATAGTCATGAAAAATTCACGCAAACGACCTGGATGCCGTTTAGCTATTACATCTGGTATGCAGTTCGACAACTACAAAGGTTGGTTCCATGAAGCGTGCACAGGTCTCACAGCAACTGCTTACAACAGACTCAGCTGGTCGAATCATAAGTGGGTATGTGTTTCGTGCAATACGGATTCTGCAGTTTTGCTGAGTAACATCATTGTCCTACTGACAGGTCTGCAGAATAAGTTGTCAGCAAACTTGGAAAAAGTTAGTCACAAAACGGGTAGACAAACAAGGGCGCGCAACGAAAACGGACATAGGGATGTTGGTAGGTCTATTATCGATGGAACACGCATTAGCACTAGTGATGACATGATGAAACTCAGCACCATCATTACTTCGAGGTTAATATACTCCCTTAGCAAACACGGGCCTGCCAGCTCAGTGGCCTTGAATGCAACAGTGGTTCTCAAAAACTCTGTAGGTGATATGACCCACGTTAACAAAGCTAAAAAGGACCAGACGTCACCATCTAAGCTGAACATCCCAAGTGTTCTACAGAAACCAAATGGTGATATGGTCTCACGGTCTACCCACAAGAATGTCCGTTCGGTCAGCAAAAATCTTAGGATTCAGAAACGTGCTTTGACCTCCAAACAACAAGGTTCTGAACCTGAACGCACCGGAAATCCTGGGAAAACAATAACGGTTCGTGATGGCTCTCTCATAATCATGAACCTCATAGACAACCCTGACCTTCCTCTTAGCTTGCAGAACGAAAATGACAGGATGCTCTGGGGTGAATTGAACAAGAAGCTTGAACTTCCTAGAATGGAGCTTTTGAAGGTCAGACAGCTCACTCGGGGAAAGGAATCTAAGATAATCGTGCAAGGTGTACCGGAAAACACGGATCCTATTCAAGGAAACTCTGATATTAGGGAATGGAAATTCATCAAGCAGTCCTTGAGGCTCAAAAACATACTGACTGAACATGTGACGAGACTGGCCAAGAACGACGGTGATTCTAGACCCCGACTAATGAGGACTACTTTCCCATCCTCCCATATGGCGGCTACAACTCTGGGAGCATTACATGCCAACAGACGTCGGTTGCCAACTGGAATTTATATGCACCCGCATAGGCCACATGACGCCACGACCAAGCACAAAGGCAAGTTGGAGCTGACCATTCCACTTGCGGACTGTCTTGTTCATAAAAACACGTGTCAAGAACAGGGCCTACTAACTCGGCAAGTCTTGTATAGGTAGGCTACCTGTTTTTTCACGTAAGGCTCATACTGACGAACAGACAGGAGAAGCTCACGCATTTCAAATTGAAAGCGTAAACTGCTTATACATGGAGGCCGCGAGTCTTCCAAATAAAATGGATGAGCTACATGAGCTTAGCAATGTTATTAAAGCTCATCTGAAACTTGGATATCTTCTCAGTTTGCGGATCAGGAGCTAGCAATACCTGGGATGTCTTTGTTTCGTAATGACAGTAAAACGAAAATTGGGTGTGGAGTGGATTTATACATACGATCCGGCCTGGAAGTACACCAAGTTCACAACCATGAGTTTAACAATGTTGATTAACCTGTATGGTGTTCAGGACGATTGTCTACCATTACGAGGAGCCTAGTCGCTGTCATCTACAGGAAGCCCACTGCTGCTGGGAGGACTATCCCGCTCTACGCGCCACGGACTCACTCATATCCTGATTCTAGGGGACTTCAATCTTCCTAGAGTCAATTTCGCGCAACATGCGTATATTGGGAAGAAAACTCAACAGAAGCTCGGTTCTTCAACCTCATTGAGGATCTGGGATTATACGAAAATGTAAAGTCGGCAACTCGTTGGGGAAACAGTCAGATGCCGTCGCACTTAGACTGAGTATTTGCAAACCAAGAATTTCTAGTTGACAACCTCTTAGTCCTGGCTCCTCTGAGGCAAAGCGATTACTCCGTTACAGCCTTCAGTTTTGTCAGCAAAACTGAGCTAAGATATCCCATTAACAACAGGCGCTGGAATTTCAAACGGTTAAATATGTCAGCTCTACTGATAACAACGGTGCATACACGCAATACAAATATATAAGGAGCATATGCACAGAGGCAGTAAGAGAAAACAAACTTCAGTACCAGACAAAGCTTGTCGATAAATTT